TTTTGTTTGAGGCGGTGTACCTTGCTGGATACCAGCGAGTGATCAGTGTCACAGACTGCACTGTGGTAGCTGCGTGTGATGAATATTGAGTTGAGGAGGGCTCGTCGGGTGATGACGAGGTCCAGTTGGTGCCAATTAAGAGACCTTGGATGTCTCCATGATACTTTATGGCATGGTTTTGTGAGAAAGAATGAGTTTGTGATACAGAGATCGTGGTATGAACAAAGCTCCAGTAGTCTTTGGCCACTGGCATTCATCTTTCCGATGCCATGATAGCCAAGGCATGTGAGCCACGCGTCGTGGTCAGCCCCAACCCTTGCATTGAAGTCTCCCAACAGAAACATGTGCTCAGAGCTTGGGATTTTGCGAATAATATTGTGAAGCTCTTCATATAACTGTTCATGAATCTCCGCAGGTGAGTAGAGTGTTGGGGCGTAGACACTCAGGATGTTTACATGGCCAGAAGCAGTGAGCAGTCCCATGAGCAGAATCCGCTCGGAGCCTGTGGTCGGTGGTTCTATCATGCCAAGGAGCGTGTTTCTGACGGTGAACCCAACACTGCATTGCCTTGGTTTGTTCTGCTGTTTTCCTTGCCAGTAGAAAGTGTAGTCACTCTCGTAGTGAGCCACTGCCAGCAAGCCGGGTCTCCTGCAGTGCTGCAATACCCACATGGAGTCTCGCCAGCTCTCTGTCAATAACTGCAGTCTTGCGGATGTCCTCAATCTGCAATATATCTTCAGAGAGTCCAGAACACATTGTGCGTACATTCCAGGTTGCAAAATGAAGGGCTGGAACCTTCTTTCGCTTTTTTTGCTTTTGTCTGGTGCAGGTGTTGCAGCCCACTTGTCTGGTAATGAACCATAAGCTCCAAGCACCCATTGGAGCATGGGAGCCGTGGTGGGAAAGCAGCTTATTGGCCGGGGGCTGACCAGCTTGAGGCGGGCGGTAGCTATCCATTGGGGTGCAATGACCCCTCCCACCGACGATGGCAACCCGTGGCGCCCATTTTTTATGCCAATCTAAAATGAGCTTATAACCCGTGACTGCTGCCATCCGTGTTACTTGGCCACGATTAGGTGGCCGAGGAGGAGTGTTCTCTCCCCATTTTTGCACCTCTTGTTGGCGCAAAGCCCGGGCAGGTTACTCTGGAAATCCTGGGTTGCCCATGCATCAGGATCCCCCCCTCGGCCTTGCTGGTGAGGTCCAAAGGAGTGCATAGCACGACGTTTGGTACCAGTTTGGCTGCAGGGGCTGCCGGGAATGTGCCGCTGTGCGTCACAAAACCGCCTGAGGGGCCCCACTCCTGATTTTCTGTCGGGGTTCACTCCCTTAGCCATTGACTCTCCCGAGACACTCACAAGACAGTGAAAAAACCGCGTAACCCTGGGAGGGGCCCTTACCAGGTACTGACAGCCGGGCCAGCTGTGCCTGGGACTCACGTAAGGCAGGGTCGTCACGCCCTGAGGTAGTTTATCACAAACTACCCGCTACCATGACATAGTACACTACGCTATACAATACACTATACACGACTATACACTACTATACACGATACTAAATTACATTCTTTCGAACTACTTTTTGTGTTTAGTTTGTGGTTCTTCACCCACATCTCCGATTAGCACAGATGGCTATGTACGCTGCGAAATAAGTTCAACATCCATACCACACCATACACCACAATACACTATACACTAAATTGTACACTATACAATACGCTACACAATAGTCTGTACACGACTGTACACACTACGATACACGACACTATACAGTACTGTACACTAGACTATGATACACTCCACTACTATAAACTCCACCACTATACTAAATTTAAATTGTATTTCTTTAGAACTGCTTGTGTTTCGTTTGTTGTCCTTCCCCCGCACCTCTGATTAGCACGTTTGGTTACATACGGCGCGAAAGAAGTTCAACATACATAGACTACATATATTATATACTACATACTACACTATGCACTACACTACATACTACACTATACACTACATATTACACCATGCGCTACATACTTCACTATACACTACATACTGCACTATATACTACACTATATACTACACTACATACTACACTATACACTACATTTCGATTTAAAGCTTTCGTGACTGCAATGATTCATCTTCTTTGGTTCTTTCGGTAAAGTCACGTAGAAACATACATAGACGTGACTTTACCGAAAGAACCAAAGAAGATATACACTACATATTACACCATGTGCTACATACTACACTATACACTACATACTGCACTATATACTACACTACATACTACACTATACACTACATATTACACCATGTGCTACATACTTCACTATACACTACATATTACACCATGTGCTACATACTTCACTATACACTACATACTGCACTATATACTACATACTACACTATACACTATCTACTACACTACATACACTACATATTACACCATGCGCTACATACTACACTATACACTACATTTTACACCATGTGCTACATACTACACTATACACTACATACTGCACTATATACTACACTACATACACTATACACTACATACTGCACTATATACTACACTACATACACTATACACTACATACTGCACTATATACTACACTACATACTACACTATACACTACACTACATACTACACTATACACTACATTTTACACCATGTGCTACATACTACACTATACACTACATACTGCACTATATACTACACTACATACACTACACACTAACATCGATTATCCGGCTGCTTCCAACATTATCTGGCGATGCCGGGCCGATCCGGCGAAACCGCTCCGAAGGCTGTAATCCAGTCTGGCAATCGTCAAACACAATAATCATGTTTGTGTTGAAACAAGAGCATGGTAGGTAGCAACTACGTACACCATCAACCCCGTGATGCGGAATCTCCCGAGGTTTGAGTGGTAAGTACGGTCCAGTAGACACTGCGACTTTTACACAGGATATTTTTTCACAGAGTAGTATTCACGATTTAAAACGCAAAAAAACCCCACAGATTTCCTGGAAAATTTTATCGCGTAATTTACGAAGCACTCTGGAATCTCTGTTATTCTGTTTCCTATTCGATATTAAATTAAACACAATTTAAAACGCAAAAAAACACAGATTTACTGGAAAATTTTCTCGCATAATTTACTAAGCACTCTGGAATCTCCGTTATTTTATTTCCTATTCGGTATTAAATTAACCTCCCCCCCCCCTCCTCTCTATCAGACATCACCACCCACCCCACCTCTCAAAGAACTCGACAGAACCACCACCACACCCACACCCCACGCTGTTTTGGGTGCATTCATTAGATCCAAATGGCGTTAAATAATTATCACCCGGGGCTGAGTAACATATTCTTTGGGTATTTCGGTAAATCTTCTTTGGTTCTTTCGGTAAAGTCACGTAGAATGAGAATAAAATAATAAATTGATAATATTGTGTTATTTTATTTTATCAATTTATTATTTTATTCTCATTCTACGTGGTGACTTTACCGAAAGAACCAAAGAAGATGAATCATTGCAGTCACGAAAGCTTTAAATCGAAATTTATTTCGGTAAAGTCACGTAGATGGGTACAAATTAATAAAACATTTTTTTTTATAAATATAAACCAAAAACCACGACGTTTCGATCGCAACCCAAAGCGATCGCCATCAGGAGGAAAGAAGGGGAAAGCTTCTGAATGCAGACTTTTATAGGGTGTAGTCCTAGGGTCATACACGAAGTAGGCGGGGCTAGTGATGTTAATGTAAGTAACCTAGTTGCTGTACTTCCATGTACATATTGTAACTTCGTGGCCTTTAGCGTGGCAGCAGATGCGACTATTCGTCCAACTTATTTTGCTGCAATATTTTACACGCGAATTCTAAACGTTCGCTGTGGATTTTGTTTTGTTTTATTTCGCTTTCAGTTTCATGTATTATTAGGTGTAGCCCTGTGAGCCATTCGGCTCTTGAATCGGGTGCAACCGCAACAAACAAACAAAAACACGAACAAAAAAACATCTTAAAGTGACTATGCGCACACAGAAAAATCCAGGAAAAAAACCAGCAAAGTATTCCAGGAAAAAAGCACCGTACATCAACGCTGTGTGCAAAAATCCCAGTGGGATGCAAGCCAAACAATAACAACCATAAGACATATTCTTGGTTCTTTCAGTAAAGTCACCACGTAGAAGGGAAACAATCAAATAGTAAAAATATAAAACAATAAAATTCTCACGACGTTTCGACTGCAACACAATCATCATCAAGAACATTTTCTTGCTGTGGTTTTCACACCAAGATAATTTTCTTGCTGTGGTTTTCACACCTGATGACGATTGCTTGTGTTGCAGTCGAAACGTCGTGAGAATTTTATTGTTTTATATTTTTATTATTTTATTGTTTCCCTTCTACGTGGTGACTTTACCGAAAGAACCAAGAATATGAATCCCTACAGTCACGAAAGCTTTAAATCAAAACCATAAGACAATTTAGATTAAAGTCATCAGTCTAACTCTGTACTACAACAAACGAACATGGCTAAACCAAAACGTTTTCGAAATCGCCAAGCTATAAAAGCAACAGTGATCATAGGAACTGTGATTGAAATTTTAACAATAAACGATACACCGTAACACGTACTACCAAACTTTGCGGCCATTGCTGGCTGCATGAGTCACTCCATAAGAGCAGGAGTATCAGTAGGAATTATCAGCTGTATCACGTCTCGAGACATTCGCCTTGTCTCGCGTCTTGACTCGCATCTTGTCCCGCATCTCGTCGTCTTGTCCCGCGTCTTGTCTCGCATCTTGTCTTGCATCTCGCCGTCTTGTCTCGCATCTCGCCGTCTTGTCCCGCGTCTCGTCCCGCATCTTGTCGTCTTGTCCCGCATCTCGCCGTCTTGTCCCACATCTCGTCGTCTTGTCCCGCATCTCGTCGTCTTGTCTCGCATCTCGCCGTCTTGTCCCCGCATCTTGTCGTCTTGTCCCGCATCTCGTCCTTCTTGTCCCGCATCTCGTCGTCTTGTCCCGCATCTCATCGTCTTGTCCCGCATCTTGTCGCCCTGTTGCGTGGTCGCTGCCGCTGCTGCGTTGGGAGGCGACGCGCAGAGGTTGGGTGGTGAAATTCACTCAAGACGCCGACATTCACTCTCTGTCTGTCTCTTTCTCACATTGTGTTCACGAGTGGTGAATTCACGCAAGACGCCGACATTCACTCTCGCTGTGTGTCTCTGGTATCGTGTTCACGAGAGGTGAATTCACACTCACACCGGCATTCACTCTCTCTGTCTGGTATCGTGTTCACGAGAGGTGAATTCACACTCACACCGTCATTCACTCTCTCTGTGTCTCTCTCGCACCGTGTTCACTGCTGTCACGAGTGGTGAATTCACTCAAGACGCCGACATTCACTCTCTCTGTGTGTCTCTCATACCGTGTTCACGAGAGGTGAATTCACACTCACACCGACATTCACTCTCTCTGTGTCTCTCATACCGTGTTCACGAGAGGTGAATTCACACTCACACCGACATTCACTCTCTCTGTGTGTCTGGTATCGTGTTCACGAGTGGTGAAATTCACACTCACACCGCCATTCACTCTATCTGTGTCTCTCTCTGGTACCGTGTTCACTGCTGTCACGAGTGGTGAATTCACGCTCACACCGTCATTCACTCTCTCTGTGTCTCTCTCACATCGTGTTCACTGTTGTCACGAGTGGTGAATTCACACTCACACCGCCATTCACTCTCTCTGTGTCTCTCGCACCGTGTTCACTGTTGTCACGAGTGGTGAATTCACACTCACACTGCCATTCACTCTCTGTGTGTCTCTCACACCGTGTTCACTGCTGTCACGAGTGGTGAATTCACACTCACACCGTCATTCACTCTCTCTGTGTCTCTGGTACCGTGTTCACTGCTATCACGAGTGGTGAATTCACACTCACACCGCCATTCACTCTCTCTGTGTGTCTTGCACCGTGTTCACTGCTATCACGAGTGGTGAATCCACACTCACACCGCCATTCACTCTCTCTCTGTCTCTCTCACACCCTGTCCACTGCTATCACGAGTGGTGAATTCACCTCCTGTAGCGTGTTGAAGCAAAGCAAAATTTGACTTCACTGTAGGAGACGTGATTCGCACGGTTTGGCTACGTACGGCGCAAAAGAAGTTCAACAAACGTCCATGATAAGCACGCACTAACAAATAGAATTCTACGTCTAAATATATTTTGTGTGGGGTGGTCTTTGTATCCCCCCCCCCTTCCTTCCAGATGACTTCTCAATTTCAATTGCCGCTCGTCAAACAAGAGTGCGACGACTCACGCGCCGGGACGTGGCCGCGCGTGGAGGTGAAACGTGAAGAGGACGAAGCTGATGATGATGATGCTGATGATGATGATGTTAACGCCGGTGAGCCTCTGTCCTCTGTGTCTACCACTTTGCCCCCCTCCCCCCCCCCCCCCGGGGCCGAATGAAAGCGTGGGGGGCTTTAGGGGGTACGGCCAGCTGGAGGGCCTCCAGAGATGAAGTAGTGAACGGTTACTTCGTTTGTGAACGCTGAATTTTATTTGTTGTTAGCCTCGTAAAAAATACAATTTTAGTTGTCTTTAACTTTGTTTGCATTTTCGACAATATTACTTGGGGGGGGGGGGGCTCACAGTACCTGTAGCCCAGGGGACTACAAAATCTTAATCCGGCCCCTGCCCCCCCCTCTCACCGCTTCTTAATCCTCCGCACCGCCACCTTCGTGAGTTCCCCCGCTCGGAGAGAAGTCCATTTCTGGCCCACAATTTGCCCTGCGACGCGCGCCACGGTGGACCTGGAGATGTTGACGACTTCGCCGAGCATGCAGGAGGTCGTGGGGTTCTATCCCGACCCCCCCGCCCCCGGGCGCCTGTACCCAGTAGACTCTCGATTATTATCCGCGCTCACGGCGGGGAGGACTGCCGCGCAGATAATTCAAAATCGCGGATAGTCCATCAAAAACATAACCGTCTCCCGCGGATTTTTATATGCCAAGAGCCACTAATGTCGGGATAAATTGCGTTTAAGTGTCTCTGCCATTGCACAGTTTTCGTAAATTAAAACTCACAAAATGAATGATCGGATAAATCACTCGGAAATGAAGCACAACTGACGATTGCGATTGTTACTCTTTCGATTCAGAACGAATACTGACGACGATCGACTGATCGATGCGCGTGCTCAGTGATGGTAACTCTTTCCTGGCTCCCCCCCCCCCCCAGCAGAAGGCTCAGCTCACTAAGTGGATGACAGCAGAGCCACGCCAATCAACATCAATCCAACTCCGCCCACTGTTGTAAAGATATGGCAAATACTGTGCTGTAGAGGCAATCGCGTGGATTTGGGATTAACCGGAGCAACGTATTTGTTCGGTTTGAGCACCATGTGGCTTGTAACAAACATTTCCAAGAATAACAACGTTTAGTTGTTTATAGCTGCGGTTCATCCGCAAATCGGATAAACCACAAGCGCGGATAATCGAGAGTCGACTGTACAAGGCCAAAGAAGTACACAGAGAATGGTGCCTTTCCTCTTTAGCTTCCTTTGTTACTGAAAGCATGAATCTCACAGACTTGGGCTCTTGTTGAATAACAATAATAATACGAATCGACTTATTTATCCAGGAGAGGCACACTGAGTCTTCCTTCGTACTACTTTTCCCACATTGGGATTAAAAAAAAAAAATTTCAGCCACTGTAAACGAGTCTACTGAAATCGAGAGTCCTACCGTAATCGAGATTCCTACTGTAATCTCCGCCCATCCCATTTTGCTTCTAACCAAACCCCTCTGCTGCTCCCCTTCTCACAGCCTTCAACGGACCGAGGCCCCCAACCCTCCCCTCTTTCTAAAATCTCCCCGCCTTCTATCCCCTTTCAAACCTTCCAACCAATCGCCATCTGGCAAGCTGCATCATCATTGTCACAGCTATCCTGGTGCACTTGCGCCCTCCCCCCCGCCAAGGTCGTAGCGGTTATAGAGTTTTTACGCTATCCATCTCACCCCTTCCCACCCCCCCCCCGTATGTCCTACCAAAGACGCTATCCAAGAATGGTCTACCATCCTTGCATACGCATGCTCAGACCCTCCCATCCACCATTAACGCGGGTGCATTCTCTACCTTCACAGTTCGGGATCAGGGGATTGTTAAGGCCGAGGGAGTGATTGAAAGGCCGGAGGAGAGACCACTGTGTCTGAGCTCTCAAGGCCACAGCTTCACTGACACGGAACCACCAGAGGAGGACGCCGGTCGAGGTGAGATCCCTTTCCCCAACGGAGAAAATTAAATGCTCTGTCGCTCTTATCACCGGTTATATTTACAGGGTGCTTCAAAAAAATGTTAATACTTCTGAGAATTTGCAACAGTACCACAATAAGTGTGCTGCCTCCGGGCTCAGGAGACGACCTGGAGAAGATTCCAGGCACGTGTTGACAATGATGGCGGAAAAGTGGAGACTATTTGACTTGTTGAAGCTATTAACATTGCATTTGTTGTCATGCTACAGTGTATTGTCCGTTATTTTTCCATTAAAAACGATAGTCCCATGTAAGTGTTAAAACATGTTTTAAGCACCCTGTATATCGCAGTCATGATCTCACCTTGAACAAAAACGGTGGTTACCGCATCGCTCGGCGCTTTCTTATGCGCTTCTGCGGCCACCTGGAACGGCTCTTCCCTTCTGATAATAGGAAGCCACTGTGAGCTTTGCACTTTTAAATCATCATAATTTAGATTGACAAACTAATTTCTTTAGCACTGCTTTTTCTGTCTAGTTTGTTGTCCTTCCCCCGCACCTCCGTTTGGCACGGTTGGCTACGTACGGCGCGAAAGAAGTTCAACGTACACACGCGGCGTGGTCAACGCCACCACAACTCTCGGCCGCCTTTATCTCCCCAGCGCAGATGCTTTAAACTCTGCACCGGACACTCGTGTTGAGGCCGAGCATACTTGCAACAGGCGTGCGTGCGTATAACACCTCGAGCCTACAAATCACCACCCCCCCCCTCCCCCATTTTGCGTCACGTTTGAAAAATGTCGCGGCAGGCGAAGGAATGGGGGCAGACGAGGCCGAGCGGGCGGGGCGGCCCCTGCGAGGCTGCGTGCGGCACGGAAAGAAGCCGGGAGGCCCCGCGTCGCGCGGCCGCAGGGGTGCGCCCGCCGACGAGAAGCCGCGCTCGGCCGCAGCGTATGGAGGGCAGGATGCCACTGCAGCCGCGGCCGCCGCGGCCGCGGGCAAGTCGGGAGGGCCGGAAGGGACGAGGCGTGCCGGCGAGAAGCTGCACGCGTGCGGGCAGTGCGGCAAGGGCTTCACGCGGCGCTGCAATCTCGAGACGCACCTGAGGACGCACACCGGCGAGAACCCGCACCCGTGCCCGGAGTGCGGCAAGGGGTTCACGGCGCGCGCTGAACTGACGAAGCACTCGCGGACGCACACGGGCGAGAGGCCGCACGCGTGCGGGGAGTGCGGCCGGGGGTTCTCGAAGCGCTGCAATTTAGAGACGCACTCGCGGACGCACACGGGCGAGAGGCCGCACGCGTGCGCCGAGTGCGGCCGGGGGTTCTCGAAGCGCTCCACCTTGGAGGCCCACTCGAGGACGCACACGGGCGAGAGGCCGTACATGTGCGACCGGTGCGGCAGGAGGTTCACGCAGCGCTACAACCTGGAGACGCACTCGAGGACGCACACGGGCGAGAAGCCGCACGTGTGCGACGAGTGCGGCAAGGGCTTCTCGCAGCGCTCCACCCTAAGTAAACATTGCGCGACGCACACGGGCGAAAGGCCGCACGCGTGCGCGGAGTGCGGGAGGAGGTTCACGCAGCGCTACACTCTGGAGATGCACTCGAGGACGCACACGGGCGAGAAGCCGCACCTGTGCAACGAGTGCGGGAAGGGGTTTTCCCAGCGATCCACTCTGAATAAACACTCCATAACGCACACTGGGTAAATGCCACGCGTGTTCTCGGGGTTGTGGGGAAGTTTTTGCACAACGAACTAAACTATTTTTTTTGTTTTGAGTGAGCCGTTGCGTGAAGTAGCACTTTTTTCAGAAGCGACCTGGCCATCGCAAATGATAGCTCGACGAAGTGGCTTAGCATCGCGTGGAAATTTTACAGCAGCCAAATAATCTAAATGCGTTTTGATTTAAAGCTTTCGTGACTGCAGTAATTCATATTCTTAGCTCTTTCGGTAAAGTCACGTTGAAGGGAAACAATAAAATAATAAAATATATATAAAACAATAAAAATTCTCACGACGTTTCGACCATAACGGTCGTCATCAGTGACGTCATCAGTGACGACCGTTATGGTCGAAACGTGAGAATTTTTATTGTTTTATATATATTTTATTATTTTATTGTTTACCTTCAACGTGACTTTACCGAAAGAGCTAAGATTATAATCTAAATGCGTGTTTGCAAATGTGGGGCGGGAAAAATCCACACTACCACGGGGAGAGAGACACACGCAAATTCCAAATATAATAAGCAGGTGTCGTCAGGGTTGAGGATCAAACCCACGACCTCCTGCATACCAGGCGAGGGAGATAACATCTCCTAGCCACTGTGGCGTTCGATCAGATTTAAAGACGCATTCTCGAACAAGCGACTGGTAACAAGCCACGGGCATGCACAGAGTGCGGGGAACGGCTTGACGATGCGTGCGTAGTTAAATGATCATTCCAGAACACGGAACTGGTCAGAAGCCACACATCTGATGAGAGAGTGTGGGATGGGAGTCTACAAAATATAAACTACTGCTTGAGACACCACAGCAGGTACAAAGATTGTGGGAAGGAGGTTTTAACACACAGGCTTTCTCGACCAATATCCATAATACTAGCAACGAATTGGCACGTTCTGTTTACGTGACACTAAACCTTACTAATTGGCTGTGTCTGGTGGTGGCTGGTTTAACGACACATTTATATATTTACACGATCTAACAAAAAAAACCTATTATGAAGCAGGTTTTCCCAGATCGTTCTTATAAGTAGTGGGTTACAGAGCACATGCTAAATGGGATATTTGAATGTCGGCATTTCCCTTTCGATTCAAAGCAATGTTGACTAAGTTTATTTCTCGGTGGTATGAAACTGTAAAAAGTAATTTAAAAAATATACGTACATAAACATGATTTGAAAATAATGCCTATAAACATGGTGTGTGATTCATGTATTGTAAGCATATGTGTTTATATGCGTGTGTTATGTATGTGGGGAGCGATAGTGTAGCGGTTAGCACTACGAACGCGGCGACCCGAGTTCGATTCCCGCTCACGGCCAACACCGGTGACGATTATCTGAACTGGTGCCGGGCCCTCCCCTAGATCGACTCAGCCTTAAATGAGTACCTGGTGTAGCGGTGCGTAGTAAACATCGTCACTAGAGACAAAGGCAGCCAGGAGTGGTGTTGGCCACCCACGCCCTCGTGTGCCAAACCGGCCTTAATAGGCGCTCGCTAACAGCACTTGCCCCAACAGTCTGTTCAGGCTATACGGGGGATCCTTGCATGATATATAGTGTACATATTGTAATCAAAAGTATATATAGTTTCCACGTATGTACGTGTGTGATGACTCGGGCGTTTGTACGAATAGGCGAGGCATCGTCAGAATGATTTCGATGTCAGGACAGGCGATCGTCAAGGTTGTATTTTGTCTCCCACACCACTCAATGTTGTGCTTGACTCTAAATTCACGAACACCGCGTGTATGTGTCATATAGGACTCCGGAGACAGCTGTAGAGGCACCTTTATTTACTCGTACTCAACACTATTTCGACCCACTCGGCGCATGACGCAACGCTGACCGTCAAGCTCGACGGAGCGAACTGCCTGGATATCTGGCTGACTATCCAGCAGTGGCGACGTCGGGCGATGACAAGGACGGCAGCGAGGACGCCAGCGAGGACGGCGAGACGACTTCGATTCCCACCGACAGCCCCGAGCCCCGACTCTCACCCCCCTTTTATCCTTGCAGCGTGGCCAGGCACCGCCTGGCCACGCCCCCTTTCTGGAACTCTCTGGCGGGTTCTCGGGGCACCCAGATGGATCCCCTCAATGACCCTTGCCCTAGTTCCTCCCCCTCTAGCGACGCTCACGTGTGTGCCTGTCTGCTGCTCCTTATGTGCGGACTGTTTGAACACCCACGGTTGCCACTTGCGGCCGCCAGTTGGCGCCGCTACACTACACATGTACGTTGAACTTGTTTCGCACCACCGTACGTAGGCAACCGGAGGTGCGGTCGTGGGGGGGGGGGGAAGGACAACAAACTGAACACGACAACAAGTAGTTCTAAAGAAATAAGTTTTTTCTTGTTCCATGGCTGAGCCAAAAGCCGCCGCTGCTGCTGCTGCGCGTATGAGCGGAGTTCGTGTGATGATTGTTTATGCTCCTTGATGAGATCAGCAGCAGCAAAGTAATTGTGGTTCGTATGTAGCCAGCACTTTGTGTTTAATGAGCGCGATCTTAATAATGACAGTTGAATTTATATAGCGGTTTTTCATCAAGGATGTCAAGGCGCTGTATAGGACACAGCAGCAGCAGACACGGCATGAAACTAATTTTCGATTTGATGTCACAAAAATCATTTTCCTAAATTAACTAAACGTTTAACAAGCGGGAGCGTATATATGAATCGGTTTTAAGACGCATTATAAAAATGTAATTCCACGTTTGCAGAGCTTCCCTGATATCTGGTGGGAGAGCGTCTCGCACGGGGAAAAAGTCTCAGTCATCCATAAGACCGAAGAAGGCCTGGGAATGCAGAAAGAATGCTGACTGGTGTAGGCCAATAAGTTTCAAGTACAATGCGTAGATTATACCACAATTTCATTTTCATTTAATTTCATGTATTAGGTATAACCCTGTGAGCCATGCGGCTCTTGACTCGGGTGCAACGGCAACAAAACAAAAACATGGTATCATACTGCCAAAAATGTATCCCATGGCATCATAGGAATCATGGTATCATACTGGCAATAAGGTATCCCAATGGCATCATAGGAATCACGGTATCATACTGCCAAAAATGTATCCCATGGCATCATAGGAATCATGGTATCATACTGGCAATAAGGTATCCCATGGCATCATAGGAATCATGGTATCATACTGGCAATAAGGTATCCCAATGGCATCATAGGAATCACGGTATCATACTGCCAAAAATGTATCCCATGGCATCATAGGAATCATGGTATCATACTGGCAATAAGGTATCCCAATGGCATCATAGGAATCACGGTATCATACTGCCAAAAATGTATCCCATGGCATCATAGGAATCATGGTATCATACTGGCAATAAGGTATCCCAATGGCATCATAGGAATCACGGTATCATACTGCCAAAAATGTATCCCATGGCATCATAGGAATCATGGTATCATACTGGCAATAAGGTATCCCAATGGCATCATAGGAATCACGGTATCATACTGCCAAAAATGTATCCCATGGCATCATAGGAATCATGGTATCATACTGGCAATAAGGTATCCCAATGGCATCATAGGAATCAAGGTATCATACTGCCAAAAATGTATCCCATGGCATCATAGGAATCATGGTATCATACTGGCAATAAGGTATCCCAATGGCATCATAGGAATCACGGTATCATACTGCCAAAAATGTATCCCATGGCATCATAGGAATCATGGTATCATACTGGCAATAAGGTATCCCAATGGCATCATAGGAATCACGGTATCATACTGCCAAAAATGTATCCCATGGCATCATAGGAATCATGGTATCATACTGGCAATAAGGTATCCCAATGGCATCATAGGAATCACGGTATCATACTGCCAAAAATGTATCCCATGGCATCATAGGAATCATGGTATCATACTGGCAATAAGGTATCCCAATGGCATCATAGGAATCACGGTATCATACTGCCAAAAATGTATCCCATGGCATCATAGGAATCATGGTATCATACTGGCAATAAGGTATCCCAATGGCATCATAGGAATCACGGTATCATACTGCCAAAAATGTATCCCATGGCATCATAGGAATCATGGTATCATACTGGCAATAAGGTATCCCAATGGCATCATAGGAATCACGGTATCATACTGCCAAAAATGTATCCCATGGCATCATAGGAATCACGGTATCATACTGGCAATAAGGTATCCCAATGGCATCATAGGAATCATGGTATCATACTGGCAATAAGGTATCCCAATGGCATCATAGGAATCATGGTATCATACTGGCAATAAGGTATCCCAATGGCATCATAGGAATCATGGTATCATTACTGCCAAAAATGTATCCCATGGCATCACAGGAATCATGGTATCATACTGGCAATAAGGTATCCCAATGGCATCATAGGAATCATGGTATCATACTGCCAAAAATGTATCCCATGGCATCATAGGAATCACGGTATCATAGGAATCATGGTATCATACTGGCCATAAGGTATCCCAATGGCATCATAGGAATCATGGTATCATAGGATTCATGGTATCATACTGCCAAAAATGTATCCCATGGCATCATAGGAATCATGGTATCATACTGGCAATAAGGTATCCCAATGGCATCATAGGAATCACGGTATCATACTGTCAAAAATGTATTCCATGGCATCATAGGAATCATGGTATCATACTGGCAATAAGGTATCCCAATTGCATCATAGGAATCACGGTATCATACTGCCAAAAATGTATCCCATGGCATCATAGGAATCATGGTATCATACTGGCAATAAGGTATCCCAATGGCATCATAGGAATCACGGTATCATACTGTCAAAAATGTATTCCATGGCATCATAGGAATCACGGTATCATAGGAATCATGGTATCATACTGGCAATAAGGTGTCCCAATGGCATCATAGGAATCATGGTATCATAGGAATCTTGGTATCATACTGACAAAAATGTATTCCATGGCATCATACTGGCAATGAGGTGCCCTATGAAATGTACTCGTAATGGCAAAACTCCACGACTCCAGGAAGTGGCCCCGAAGCTTGCCATAACGTAAGGGGCCGTGGTTATTTACAGCCAACGTCAGTTGAGCGTGGACAATTATACCCAAGCCGAAACATAACGTGCAAAAAAGATGGTTTACAAATATATTTTTAATGATAGAATATAGTATTGTCATCAGTATGACATAAATATACCAAGTTTGCAGTCGATACCACACTGGAAAGTGGGTTAAAATTGAGTTACAAGATTTGAGGCTACGACAACAACAGAGTTAATAGAAAGCGTGTAATAATAATAAAAAATAGTTTAGAATACCGTGGAAATGTCTGCCTAGTTGCCGCCCTGTTCTCCACTCATCCCTCCCTCCACTCCTCCCTCATCCTCCCTCCCCCCACTCCTCCCTTAACCTCTCGTCCTCCCACCAACCTCCTCGTCACCCTCCACTCCTTCCTCCCTCCATTCCTCCCTGCCCCTCTCCACTCCTCCCTCCTCCTCTCCACTCCTCCCTCCACTCCTCCCTCCCCTCTCCAATCCTCCTCCACTCCTCCTCCACTCCTCCCTGCCCCTCCTCCCTTCCTCCACTCCTCTCTCCCTCCACTCATCCCTCCCTCCACTCCTCCCTCCCCCCTCCACTCCTCCCTCCCCTTTCCGCTCCTCCCTCCACTCCTTCCTCTCTCCACTCCTCCCTCCCTCCACCCCTCCCTCCCTCCCCACTCCCTCCACTCCTCCCTCCCTCCACTCCTCCCTCCACTCCTCCCCCTCTCCACTCATCCCTCCCTCCACTCCTCCCTCCACTCCTCCCTCCTCCACTCCTCCCTGCCCCTACCCCCTCCCTCCACTCCTCCCTCCCTCCACTGCTCCCTCCCTCCCTCCCCTCTCCGCTCCTCCCTCCCTCCACTCCTCCCTCCCCTCTCCGCTCCTCCCTCCACTCCTCCCTTCTCGTCGAGCCGTTCCGGAGGAGAAGGGGGGGGGTGGTGGTGTTTTTTTTTGTTTGGCGGCCGGCGGGAATTTCACCGAAGATTCGCCGAGGAAGGTGAATTCACAGCCACGATTCACGTCTCTCACCCACGATTCACGTCTCTCCCACTGCAATGTCCATTTCGCTCACCCCACCCAGCCCAGCCACCCCCGCCTGTCTTCATCATCAGCAGCAGCAGCAGTAGCAATGTCGTCGTCATCTTTAACCCGGGAGTCCATCCCCTTTGTTGTGACGAATCCTGCCGCTCGCTAGCAGCACTTGCCCCTACAGCCCTGCTAGAGGCTACACGGGGGTCCTTTGTCTTTGTCTCCTTCATCTGAGCTGCTGCTGCTGCTACTCGCTACTAACAGCACTTGCCCCTACAGTCTGTTAGAGGCTACACGGGGGTCCTTTGTCTTTGTCTCCTTCATCTGAGCTGCTACTCGCTACTAACAGCACTTGCCCCTATGGTCTGATAGAGGCTACACGGGGGATCTTTGTCTTTGTGTGTTCAAAGGTAGCTGCTGCTACTCGCTACTAACAGCACTTGCCCCTACAGCCCTGCTAGAGGCTACACGGGGGTCCTTTGTCTTTGTCTCCTTCATCTGAGCTGCTGCTGCTACTCGCTACTAACGGCACTTGCCCCTACAGCCCTGCTAGAGGCTACACGGGGGGGGGGTCTCCTTTGTATTTGTGTGTTGCGGGGGAGCGGTGGTGCAGCGGTTAGCGCACAGAAGCCCTCCGAAGCCAGTGACGATGTTGACCTGAACCGGTAACCTGGGACTCACATCCCCTAGGTCGACTCGGCCTCAAACGAGAGTTACCTGGCGCTGTGTGTGGTGTAAAACATCGCTACTGGGGGAGACAAAGGCGGCCGGGCGTGGTGGTGCTGCCCCCCCCCTCCCCCCACCACCTCGTGTTGCCACAGTTGCCGGCCTTCATAGGCGCTGCTACTCGCTGCTCACAGCCACTTGCCCCTACGGCCTGTTGAAGGCTACCCGGGGGAGCTTCGTCTTCGTCTGTAGGTGCGGCTACTTGCTACTAACAGCACTTGCCCCAACAGTCTGTTAGAGGCTACACGGGGGATCTTTGTCTTTGCCTCTTTCATAGGCACTGCTGCTGTTACTCGCAAACAACACTTGCCCCCACAGCCTGTGTTAAGACTACACGGCGGATCTTTTTTCTTTGTTTCCTGTGTAGGCGCGACTGCTATTAGCGAACAGCACTCACCCCTGCAGCCTGTTAAGAGGCTACACGGGGGACCTTTGCCTTTGTCTCCTTCATATTCACTGCTGTTACTCGCGAACAGCACTTGCCCCTAGTCTGTTAAGAGTACACGGGGGACGCTGTTTCCCATAAAAGTAACCAACACCGCAGGCGAAGGAGGATGGTTTGGTAGGTTCCATGTGGTAGGTGACGGAGGTTGTGGAGGGGGGGGGGGGATCAATGCACTTAGCATGCACTTATGTTCACTGTATCACTAAATTATAACTTAAAACACCAAAATGACACCAACTTAAACGTCACATTTTCCACTTAACAATGAATGTTTACTGAAACATTACATTGCTGTACACTTTCACACCACATTACTCGCTGCCAGACGACATCGGCCGACGTGGGTACACCAAAGTCCACAGAGGTGTCTGTGGGAGCATATCCAGAGACTGATGTGAAGGCACTGCGCTGGAGGTTTCACTGCCGCTAGAATGCAGCCTACGCCTGGGTGGCCGTGGCACGCAGCGTCGCTCCAATCGGACCACTCGGCACGGCAAATTCCGAAATGACGTTTTGCTGTACACATTTTGTGCCCTCGCCCCCCCTCCTCCTCCCCAAAAGATGGACCCGCGGACGGCATTGCCATTCATCAAACAGGAGAACGAAGACGGCACGAACGCCGGGACGTGGCCGGACACGGCGGTGAAACACGAGGACGACGATGCCGGTGAGATGGGTGAAGCCGCCTTGCCGTGTCGCCGACACCCCCGAATGCATTCATTCGGTGGCCGTTTGTTGTGGGCGCAGTTTTCTTCGTACCAAAAAAATAAAGTTACGCCTTAACCTGGTGGAGCAATACGTCTGACGCGCGTTTGACGTGTCTTGAATAAAAAAAAACAACGTTTCTTTATTTCTTAGCTGCACAAAGCAAAAGGCGAGTTATATCTCGCCTTCTACTTTATCGCCTTATCGCACGGTCAAAGACTGTGTCCACTCGACTCCTGGCTGGTTCTTCTCCTGGCTTCCCTTTTATACTGCCAGACCGGAAGTGACGACATGGGTTCAACCAAGAGCCTTCTAACCAAGGGGGATTCTAAACAGTTGGAATATTCCAAGTCAAGTATGCCCAGTCTTCAACAAATGTATGACAGATGTACATCAAATGTATATACAGAAATAATACATTAACTTTCTGTCTCATGGCTCTTACAGCTTCACCGGGATAGTTGTTGGGGGGGGGGCGCTACAGAAGGACTTGGCCGCCCACCGCCCATCCCCCCCCCCCCCCAAATCGATTCGGTCTTTGAATTTGACACTCTCCTGTGTAGAGAGTATCGCTACTGACGACGATACTCGACCCTCCACGCGTAGACACGGATAGTCAGGAAGTAAAAAAACACACAACAAGCCCCCCCCACCCCTCACCCCCCTCTCTGATCGGTAACTTAACGGGGGCCTGAAAGCGGGATTGGCTATGTCGGGTGGTGGCAGGTTTAACGACACATTTATATTTCCATGATCTAACCCCACGTAAAAAAAACAACAACTTTATTACGAATTAATAACTGCAGGCCATCCACACCTCGACATTGCCACTTAGCTCCCGAACAACATCGCCGTTGTACGCTCGAATAGCATAAAATCTTCATGGCCTTCATCTGCGACGCATTTATATTCACCCGATTTGACCCAAAAAAAACGTATGGGCTCTACTGACCCCATCTGCCACCGCCATCCTCTCCCCCACCCCTCTTCCCTTCCACAACTCCCACCACTACCAAAACCAGCCCCACCCCCATGTGTTGGGGAAGGGGCAGGACCTATACAGAAAGAGGCAGGTCCTAGAGAGGAAAAGGGGGTGGCCTAAAAAGGAAAGGCGTGGAGCCAAAAGAGAAGGAGACACGCGGCCTAATCGGAAAGTGCTGGTGCCCTAAGGGGTAAGGTGGCAGGGTATGCAGAGGAAGGAGGCGAGGCCTAATGGGTGACTTTTGGCATCACTGGCATAGTGCTTCAGGTGACATCACCGCAGTGGTGTAATTTTAAAATACTGGAATCGTGCTTTTGCTTTGTACCTTGCGCCTAAGCTTGTTTTTGTGCATTTTGTTTTTTGCAAATGTGCTGCAGATGAAGGACGTGCAACGGGAGCGTTTTGCACGGACTGCAGGAAGGACTTTGGCGGACGATTAAGAATGAAGGCAGATAGAGTCAAACGACCCAGCCAGTCCCTGCGAGGCTGCATGCAGTGCGGAAGGAAGCTCGAAGGCTCCGCGTTGCACATTAACAAGAAGAAGGATAATCCCCCGGAAGAGAATGTCTGCACAGGTGCGCCACGAGCGAAGGATTCCGCAGCCGTGGATCTGTCGGGAGGGCACGAGGAGACGGGCGCCACCGGCGAGAAGCCCCACGAATGCAAGGAGTGCGGCAAGGGGTTTTCGCAGCGTTTTCACTTGGAGAGGCACTCCAGAATGCACACAGGCGAGAAGCCGTACGTGTGCATGGAGTGTGGGAAAGGGTTCACGCAACGCTCCAACCTGGAGACGCACGCCCGAATGCACACGGGCGAGAAACCGCACGCGTGCGAGGAGTGCGGGAAGGGGTTTTCGAAGCGCTCCACGTTGGAGAAGCACTCTAAAACGCACACGGGCGAGAAGCCGCACGCGTGCAAGGAGTGCGGGAGGAGGTTCGCGCAGCGTTTCCACCTGGAGAGGCATTCCGTTAAACACACCGGCGAGAGGCCGCACGTGTGCGTCGAGTGCGGGAAGTCGTTCACGCAGCGCTCCAACCTGGAGACGCATTTCAGAACGCACACCGGTCAGAAGCCGCACGTGTGCGAGGAGTGTGGGAAGGGCTTCTCGCATTCGTCCACGTTGAAGAAGCACTTGAGGACGCACACCGGCGAGAAGCCGCACGTGTGCCTCGAGTGCGGGAAGGGCTTCTCGCAGCGCTCTGCTTTAAACACGCACTCGAGGACGCACACCGGCGAGAAACCGTACATGTGCGTCGAGTGCGGCAAGAGGTTCACGCAGCGGTGCAATTTGGAGATGCACTGCAGGACGCACACGGGCGAGAGGCCGCACATGTGCACGGAGTGCGGCAAGAGGTTCACAGCGCGCACCGATTTAACCAAGCATTGTAGAACGCACACCGGTGAGAAGCCGCACATATGCAAAGAGTGTGGGAAGGGCTTTTTAAAGCGGTCCACTTTAGAGACGCATTCGAGAACGCACACGGGCGAGAAGCCGTACATGTGCATGGAGTGCGGGAAGAGGTTCACGCAGCGCTACAACCTGGAGATGCACTCCAGGACGCACACGGGCGAGAAGCCATACCTGTGCAAAGAGTGCGGCAAGGGGTTCTCGCAGCGGTCCACTTTGGACACACATTCTAGGACGCACACCGGCGAGAAGCCGTACATGTGCGTGGAGTGCGGGAAGAGGTTCACGCAGCGCTACAATTTGGAGATGCATTCCAGGACGCACACGGGCGAGAAGCCGCACGTGTGCGAGGAGTGCGGCAAGGGCTTCTCGCAGCGCTCGACCTTAGAGACGCACTCTCGGACGCACACGGGCGAGAAGCCGTACATGTGCGTGGAGTGCGGCAAGAGGTTCACGCAGCGCTACAATTTGGAGATGCACTCGAGGACGCACACGGGCGAGAAGCCGCACGTGTGCAAGGAGTGCGGCAAGGGCTTCTCGCAGCGCTCCACTTTGGAGAAGCATTTTATAACGCACACCGGCGAGAGGCCGTACATGTGCGTGGACTGCGGGAAGAGGTTCACAACACGTACTTATTTAAATAAGCATTTGGTCATACACACCGGTGAAAATCCACCCATCTGAATGGTGGATTGTTTGGCAGCAGGTTCAACACTGCGTAGCAATTTTAGATTCACGTAGTAGAACACACTGGAGAGTATGAAGCCACACACATGTTCACAAAAGAGTGCTTGGGCTGAATTGTTCACGGTGCCATAGTGTGGAGACACTGTTTGGATAGTCACAGCTGCCCCTTTCCAAGGATTGTGGGACGGGGTATTTATTCGTAACAATATTTATAAAGAGTCACCTTCGAGCTCGCACTGAGTGGAAACCTTCAATTGAAGTGTTTCGCCCTTGGGATGCTTTTCATCGTATTTTTCCCCATCACACGGTGGCGGTGATCCTGTGTAACTAAAACCATATTAACAATAGTAGTTGTAGAATATTGATGGTTTGCCCCTCCCTGTATAAAACCATACCGGCCTCCTAGATCTGCGATGAGGTGTTCGGAGTCGATAGTGGCACACGGATGTGGGGTTGCGAACTGGGGTTGCAAAAGAGATGAGCTAAAATTTGTGGACACCGTTCTGGGAAAAGATGTCACGCTCAATACACAAGAGGGGAAATGTGACCCTCGTACTGACTAACTCCAACGGGCCTGCATCAATCACAATCGCCATGCTTATTGACGACGACTGAAAAGAGACCTAGCCCCCTCCTCCTTCCTATCGCGCATCGAATGTAAATTTCCAGAGAGACGCTTGTGCGACGAGAGCTGAGAGAATGGCACTGTTTGTAAAATCAGACCCTGCCCATCACAGAGGACGACCAACTGAACTGAACTCTTAAGTCTTGGAGAGACACAGACGCGAAGACACACGGAGGGCGGAGAGGAGGCCAGAGCTGTTTAAAACTTTTTTTTACTTGTTACCATGTAAAGTCCCACTGAGCTATGCAGTTCTTTGTTCAGAAGCGACATGGGCAAAAAAAATATTACTCAACGAAGCGGCTGATCACGTGGAAATTTGTCGGAGTAGCAGCCAAATAATCCAAACGCACGTTTCTAAACGTGGAGGGAAAAATCGGAGGACCCGGTGAAAAATCCACGCGACCACGGGGAGAGAGAGACATGCAAAATCCAAATATACAGCAGGTTGGGATCGAAGCAACGACCTCCTTGCATACCAGGAGTTGGCATATCCTTGGAGATGCTGACGGGACACAGAAATCGGCTACAGAAATTGGATGCTCACTCTTGCCAGAGGGTGGCAGCAAAAGCTAAGAGGGGCGCCCCTGTCGACATGTTTGTTATCTCCCTCGCCTGATATGCATGTTCAGTCCCAAACCTGACTATATTTGGGGTTTGTGTGTCTCTCTCCCCGTGGTTTGCCTAGATTTGTTTTTATCCGGGTCCTCCGGTTTTTCTCTCCACATTTAGAATCAACATCACACGTTTCGATTGTTTGGTTGCTCTACATTTCTACATGATGATGATGATGACAAGCCGCTTCGTTGAGCTATGATATGTGATAGCCAGGTCGCTCCTGAAAAAGAGCTACATAGCTCAGTGGGCTTCACCTGGAAAATGGAATAGATTAGTTTTTAGTGTTAGATCACATTGGAACTCCTCCGTGTACTCGTGCGAGAGTAATTGGTTGTACCTACCTAGTTATGTATTTACTTGTGAGAGCAGTGCGACTTGAGAGAATGTAAACCGCATGGAGGAAGAGATGTGCGGTCACCGGGGCTTACCGACGGCCACCTATCGACGGCACTCGTTCACCCTTCAGCAGCTGCTCTGGCCAACCACTGCCGGTGTTCATCGCTTGCTGTGTGTTCCTCCGCGAGTGCCGACTGTTGCTTCAGTTGCCTGCCGCGTGGCTGTAAAGCGTCGTGTTTGATAGTTGTGAGCGTTACGGAGAACGACAACTTTGTTTAAGTGCCAAAATCGGCCTCCGGTCTTTTTGGGACAGGGTGGTAGTGGTGGCGTGACAGAATTTTGAGACTCTTGCCCCCACTACCCTATCTTTAAAGAGACACTGGAGCCAGTTATTTGCCCTTGACAAAGATCATTCAGCCACTGCATCTGCTCTACCAACCACTGCCGGCGCGCATCGCTTGCTCATCACTGATGCCGGTTACTCGCTGTACGTTCCTCCGCGTGTGCCGACCGTTGCTCTCGCTGCCTCCATGAAGGCGCCGCCCCTTTACACCCCGTAGATGGTTGCTCGCAGTGCACTGGACGGACGATTGAAACGCAAGATAAAGATTGATGCTCGACAACGTTATTTGGAAGTGATGATATTGGAATGGCAAGTCTTCAAATCGGCCACGCACCTATATACCTGCCAAGACCACGTGTGGGCACTGGATCAAGCAATATTAACTCAATCGCTTGTTGTCACAACTAAAAAGCTGTCCACTAGTACCGCTAGCCCCCTTACGTTTTAAACAATATATGTATATATACAGGATTGCTCCTATGGGTTAGTGTTATATTAAGGGAGATTGTGGATTTTTAGTTCTGCCAGCTCTCGGTGACTTATTTATCTGCAAAGAGTTAGTGGTGGTGGTATCACATAAATGTGTCCGGCAACAACGCCCAAGGTAGATCTGCTGTGAGTTTCTTTTTTTACTTAAGACTAGCTTGTTCGTGTTACTATAAAGAGTAGTTGTTTGATAGTTGTGCTCACGGAGAACGCCAACTTTGTTTAAGTGCAAAAATCGGCCTCCAGTCTCTGGGACAGGCTGGTGGTGGCGTGGCAGAATTTTGAGACTTTCCTAAAGAGACACTGGAAGCCGTTATTTTCTCTTGACTAAAGATGAATAGTTATTAGTCGTATACGATATTAGTCCTCTATATTTTATGTTTAATATCTCTTTAGAAAGTGATTATTTCTTATAGTCGTTGCAGTATTTTTCATAGATAACATGAAAGTGCATTCCTATGTTTCTGTAGTATTGGTAGTGATACGATAACTTACGTGTTGTGTAATAAATGTAATTTTTATGAAAGTTAGTGCTACTGTGTAGTTTACACGATTGGTTATCACCCTTCCGTGATGCTTCAATAAAATCTTAAAAGACAACATGGATTGTTGTGGCCACTTGGATGTTTGGTGACTGCTGAATCATCGGTGACACTGAATGCTGTGCGCCAAGGGTAATTATTGTGACAGTATGAATTTAAGGTAATGCCTAGACACCCCTGTCCTCGCCCTCTTGCTGAGACCTTGTTATGGTGAGGATTCAATTTTGATTTAAAGCTTTCGTGACTGCAGTAATTCATATTCTTAGTTTTTTCGGTAAAGTCACGTTGAAGAGAAACAACAAAATAACAAAATATATATAATTATAAAAAATTTCGTCTCCCCCCTCCTCTTTTCAAAAAAAAAATAGATGGACTAGTCCTGGGCAAACTGCCAATCGCTGCGCGTGACGCCAACGTTTTTTATAAATAAATAAATGTGCCGTTTTTAAAAATAAATTTTTGCAAACCGACACACCTGATGATGACCGTTTGAGTTATGGTCGAAACGTCGTGAGAATTTTTTATTGTTTTATATATATTTTGTTATTTTGTTGTTTCTCTTCAACGTGACTTTACCGAAAAAACTAAGCATATGAATTACTGCAGTCACGAAAGCTTTAAATCAAAATTTAATCGCCTCTACGGGGAGGGTTTTCACGTAACTTTAAGATCCTTCAACAAACTCCGGGATAAGAAAGCTCAGCTGATCGAGTCTCTCACCTTCCTGAAGAGATGCCGCGACTCTGGGGTAATACCAATCGCATTTACACTGACCTCTGCTGCTGTAACTTCTTCTAATGCGAAACGAATTCTTTTCAAAACTAGCTTAGCTCTTATCTCAGAAAAAAATCAGACTTATACGCACAGAAGTAGATCAGTTAGACAAGACACTCTACAAATCACACTTATCATTGATGGCAATAATGTCCACATCGGATTGGGAACATGTAGACAATATGACTGCCTCTTCAGCTGCTACTATGTCGACCAAATGTAAGGAAAACCTGATTTCCAAATTTAACCTCCTCTTCAACAAAAGACCGGACCCACACACCAAAAAGTTAGACGTTAATAAAGTCGTAATTAATCGCAGTAACAGTTCTATTTCCGATGGTCTGAAATCCGTTTTAGCTAAAGGTCTAAACTTTGCAGTCACACCTAAACACATACCAGTTAATGATATAATTGCCCAAGTAGACGTTGCTCTCAGGGGCCTGGGTCACATCGCTGCAGACGTAGCAAGATCTGAAATCGCTGCAACCCTCAAAAACGCTAAGATGCCAGCTAGCAACCTCAGCAAAGATGAGCGTTTTGAATTATATAAATTAAAAAAGAGGAATTATATTGTAGTTCTCTCAGCTGACAAAGGCAATGCTACTGTCATCATGGATAAGATAGACTACAACAACAAAATTAAAGAATTACTCGACGATGGTAGTTATACAAAAATAAAAAGATCCCACCACCAGCCTCGTCACACAAACCAACAAAATAATTTCTGATTTAACCGCATTAATTGATCAATCTAAACAGTTTTCGTTGAAACCTTCTGCTGCCAGGCCACCAAGAATATACGGCTTACCAAAAATACATAAAGTTGATACACCTCTTCGTCCCATAGTCTCTACTATCAGCTCCCCCACCTACAAACTAGCTCGTTTTTTGTCTGAAATCCTGCGTCCTTTCACTGGAAAGACCACCTCTGCGGTACAAAATTCTACTCACCTGGTATCAACAATCAAGGGTATTTCCCTGTCCCCAGACGACCTGCTTGTCAGTTTTGATGTAGTTTCCTTATTCACCAAGGTTCCTGTACCTGACACCATTGCAATAATTGAAGACTTGGTTCATCAAGGACTAAACACTGAGGTACCCCCCCTGGTGAGACACTGTTTAACCAATACATACTTCACTTGGAATGGAACTTTCTACAAACAAACTGAGGGCACCCCAATGGGCTCCCCCCTTTCTCCAGTTATAGCTAACATTTTCATGGAGAAATTTGAGACTGACGCCATCCAGACTGCCACTCTGCGCCCAACCTTATGGAAGAGGTACGTGGATGACACTTTTGTCATCTGGCCACATGGCCGGCCTGCTCTAGACCAATTCTTCGACCACATCAATTCCATACACCCAGCCATCAGATTTACCATGGAAGTCGAAATAGATGGCAAGATACCTTTTTTGGATGTCCTAATTAAAAAGAGACCTGATGGTTCATTGAGCCACTCTGTCTACAGGAAAGCTACCCATACGGATGCTTATCTGAAACCGGATTCCCACCACCATCCATCACAGAAGAATTCTCTCATCAAGACTCTGTATCATAGAGCCCAATGCATATCCGACCAGGAACACATAAGCAGTGAACTCAAGCACGTACACCAAGCTCTTAGGGCTAATGGTTACTCCGACTATACAATCCGCAAAGCTATCACTCAAACCATGAAGAAGAACCCTCTTGAGGAGCCTTTCAAAACCATCACTTTACCCTACATTGCTGGGATCACAAAAAAGATCTCCAAAATCTTGAATAAACACAAGATCCAGGTCCGTTTCAACACATTACATAAAATCCGTGATCTGGTTCCATCTGTAAAAGATGTGATTCCGGACATACAATACCCTGGTGTCTACAAACTAAGTTGCCTCTGTGGTAGTAGTTACATTGGAGAAACCAAACGCCATGTCTCGGACCGCATTCGTGAACATAAAGCAGACCTTAAACACGGTAGGACCAACACCTCGGCCGTAGCAGATCATTGTTCTAATTCAGTAGGCTCACATGCCATTGACTTTTCCAAGACGGAGGTTCTTTGTAAGCCATCTGGCTTCCATGAGAGATTCGTTCATGAGGCTATCCACATATACAAGCACAGAGACAATTTCCACCGAGAAGATGGATTCTATCTTAGCAATCATTGGAAAGATTTGATAAATCATTTCAGTTCTTGATTGATTGTTCACGCTTACAGTGGCTTTCAGACAGCATACATTA